ACAGAAATCTATCCTGCCCTACAGGAAAATAGAAGGGGAAGGGAACAAGAGAAGAGGGGGAGAGATAGAAGGGAGGGCAGATTAGGTGAAGGGGTATACAGAATGCATGCCATCTTGGGGTGGGGGGAGGGATGAGATGGGGAGAAAATTTGGAACTCAAAATCTTGTGGAAGTGAATGTTGAAAACTAAAAGTAAATAAACTTTAAGTTTAAATTTTAAAAAAATGAAAAAACTAAAATTATAACTTAAAACAAAATAAATGAAATACTTATTAAAAAAAGATAAGGGTAAGAGATGTTGAGGCAGAATCAATAGGATTTGGCAACTGATTCACTCAAATGATATGAGAGAGAAGGAAGAGTCAGGGATGACTCAGAAATTATCAGCTTAGACGAGCTGGAAAATAGTGGTGCCCTCAACTGAAATAGGGAAGTTTGGAGGTCTGTAGCAAATGATGATAAATTCTACTGTAAGCCTTGTTATCACCTCAAAATCAACATGTCTTCGAATAGATTTGTCAACATTCTGCTAAACCTCTAAACTTTCCTAGATCTAGAAATGTGCCAATGAAAAAAGAGGAGACATTGGTTTTAATTCTTCTTTACAACACAGCTAACGTGAAAATAGGTTTAATATGAATGTATATGTTGAGCCTATATCAAATTACATGCCATCTTGGGGTGGGGGGAGGGGAAAAATGGAGAGAAAATTTGGAACTGAATATCTTATGGAAGTGAATGTTGAAAACTAAAAATAAATAAATATTTTTTTAAAAAAAGAAAATAAAAAGGAAGAGAGATTTAAGATATGGCTTAGGAAAATGGCATGGTCAAATGACTTTTTTCTTTTTTAAAGATGGAGGGAAGCCTGAGCATATTTGTAGGAAGGATCCAATAGTTAGGGAGACACTGAAGATAAGAGAGGGAATAATGATAAATGGGAAAAAGCTTCCAGGAGAGAGAGAGAGAGAAAAAAGAGATACAAAGGAACAAGGAGGGTAGTTTGTCTTGGTTAATTGTTAGTCCTCTTCTTCTCTTCAAATGACTTGTATTATTTGGAGTATATTTCACATACATGTTGTATCTTCCCAGGAGAATGCAAGTTCCTTGAGAGTAGAGACTATTGAGTTCTTTGTCTTTGTATACAGAGCACTAAGCACAGGGCCCAAAACACAGTAGGCACTTAATAAATTTTTTTTGAATTTAATTGAATTGGCAAGGAATTAATTGGCCATGGGGACTACAATTTTCTGACAGTGAATTATGTATATTTTAAAAATCCTCATTGTGCCTCCTCCTGGTGTGTTCTGCCCCGGGTAGTTTTCTCCCTTTGCCTCCCTAGCTGTATGAAAACACATGATTCCACAGTAAAACTCAATTCACAGATGGCAGGGGGTTTATAATGTGTTGTTAAAATTGTGTTATTTGCTTTCGGATTATTTCTAGTTTAGTGTAGATGTACCAAAGTTCCTATGATGACCACAGAATTGAGAGTTGACTACGCTGTACATATTATTTATAACCTTTTTCCTTTCAATGGACACCTGTTTTTCTGGCAAATGCCACTTCTTTGAGGGAGCCTTCCCTGATCCATCTACCCAGAAATGGCCCCACTTGTCTCTGAATGCTCATTGTACTTTGCACCCTTTAATGTACATTTATTCTCCATATTATAAAGCACTGAGTTGAATATATGTTTTATACCTTTCTGTTACACTCTAAGTTCTCTGAAGTTATTAATCATACTTCATTTTTCCTTGTATTCCCTCACAGTGCCATACACACACACACACACACACACACACACACACACAGGTATACAGACATGTCATACTCAACATAATTGTTAAACTGAACTGAATTACAGAGGAACTCTGAACATGTATTGACAGTACATAATTGTAACAACTGTGGGACATGTGGATCCTGGACCCATACTGTCAGTCAACAAGCATTTATTAAGAACCTACCATGTGCCAGGCACTGGTGCTAAGCTCTGGGGATACAAAGGAAGGTAAGAAACAATCCCTATTCTCCAGGAGCTTATAGGCATATTCTAATGAGCAAATCTTATCTTTCAAATGAAAGTTTTTAGATCAAATTGTTGTGTAAGCCCCTCCTTTCTGTCATGCTAGGATGAGGTTTTTAACTCATTCTGTTGACTGGTGCTTATAGAATCTGGCCAAATGTCCTTCTATCCACCCAAGCTTTAAGCATTATTTTTCTACATACCTCAGGACTGAAAGAAAGTTATGGGCCACCTTGCATCCCTGATAATTATATTATGCCTGGGGCAATGGATGACTAAGTTAAACTTTAGATGAGAGCAGGTGACCAAAAGAAAAAAACAAACTCCAAATCAAATCATATGCACATTATAAGGCTATATGACATTGACTTAATCAAGCATAAATAATTTTTATACATAAGGTAAAATAATATGAGGAATTGAAGTATTATGTTCACCAGGATGTTAGCTGGGGTGGTCACGCCAGAAGTGAATATCAAGACATTTACAGTTCAATGAACTGAAGAGAGGAGGCATTCTAGCATAGCACCATGTTCATGTGGGCGCTTACGAAGTACTATGTGATGAATCACACACAGTAGGCAGAAGAAACTTTTTAGGAATTCACTAAGACTATGTAAGATTTACATAAGAAACTGAAAGAACAGCCCAGAAATATCACAAGGGTATGAAAAAATGAAAATAGGGCAATAGACATTGTGATGATGAAGATGATGATGGTGGTGGTGGCTGGCATTGTTGCAGTCAGATTAAGTACAGAGAAACTATAAAAATAAAGTGGAAAGTGCTAGGTGAATTCCAGGGAGAAGGAGTAGATGAGCATCTCTTGTCCCTAGCAATTTGGTTTGGTTTAGGAAGTTTAAGGTCAGGAACAGAGTAGAGAAACCAAAAGGACGCTGACTCAATTCTCTGTTTACTGTATAGACTGAGGCTTGGTACAGGGAAAGCCTGGAGAGTCTATGTTTGATCTAGAAGTTGCTACCAAGGAATTAACTTGAATAACTCAAATGTTTAGGTATGACTTTTCATTTCTCATTAAAAACCCAGTTTCTTTAATTGTCAATGACTACATTATAAAGTCCATGAAGGCAGAGTACATTTCTTATCTAAACTTTTATCTCTTCTAACATCTATCACAGCATCCTGAACACTCCGAAATTTAATGAATATTTGTTAAATGTCAGGACATGTTGACCAAAATAATAATTTCCCAATTGTATTATTAGTCCTAGGGATAGCTCAGTGGCGCATGGATAGAGCATGGGGCTTGCAATAAGGAAGACTCATTTTCATGAGTTCAAATCTGGCCTCAGACACATACTAGCTGTGTGACCTTGGGCAAGTCACTTAACCCTTTTTGCCTCAATTCCTCATCTATAAAATGAGTTGAAGAAAAATATGGCAAACCACTCCAGTATTTTTGCCAAGAAAATCCCAAAATGGGGTCAAGTAGAGTAGGACATGACTGAAACAACTTAACAACAACAACAATTATCAGTCCACAAATATTTAGCTTGTCCTCTGATCTGACCATGAAAAGTTGAAAGTTTTAAAGATAAGGTAGTATGTTGTAGGGTAGCATTGGATTTGGAGTTAGAAGACTTATACTTAGCTACATATGGGATGTACCCTCTGACAAGTCACTTAATGCCTTTGGGTTTCAGTTTCACCAATCTATAAAATGAGGGGGTTAGAATGAAATACCTCTAAGGCCTATTACACTTCAAAATCCTAACTCTGTGTGACCCTGAGTAAATGCCTTAAACTCTTAGTGCTCTAAGCAACTATCTAAGACTCGAGTTGCAAAGAAGGTGTTGATCTTTATTGCAAAAAGGAGTTTCTTCATCAGGGAATTCCCTGGCTATAGGTCCAGGCCCTAGGCCTATTCCTATGATCCTATGATACTTAGATGGGACAGAAGTCTGACTAAGCGGTTTTGGACAAAAAAAAAGTCCTCTCCATAAGGCAACATGTATCAACTTGGAATCCACAAAATATTATACAGGGTAGAACCAGATTTCATGTTTAAGTAAAATAACACCCACATTTATACCCTCTGGTTAATTTCCTCCCAAAATACTGATTTACTATTATGCAGATGTATCTTTAGATCCTCTGAAGTGATGAATTTCCTTAAATTCTTCTGCAACAGCACTTGAATCTTTCATTTTATCACCACCTATACCTTAAATTACAATATGCTGGAATATGGTAATACTGTCATTGCACATATGGGTTGGTTCACTCTAGTACTACAAACATTAGCTGAACTGGTGAGCTACACTAGACTCCTTGGGTTAGGGTTAGCATTAACTGAGGCGCTGACACCCATCATTGGCACAATCTGGCCTACATGATTCATTTGTGATTTCTCGCATCCTACAGAATTTGAAAGTACATTTGTGCATGGATTTGAATTTGGGAAGCCTGGCATTACTCACTATTTCCAATGGAAATATATCTTTCCTCTTTTAGCCAAAGAGATAGGTATCACAACCACATATGGACAATTTTTTCTTTTTGTTCTTCTTGTTTGTGAGTGGATCTCCTTAATTCACTCAGGCCACTAATGGGCCCAATTCTACTCACTACTCATTGGCATAGGAATTTATATGTGCTCTATTTTCAACGTAGGCTGGTTTTAATACTCTTAGGTAGCCTAGTGGCCCCCAACTGCCTGGCACTCATCATACAGTGCCACACTTTGAGCAGACATCCAATTGGCTTAGCCTACCACAGTTTAGAACTCCAGAGCTCAGGAGATCCGCCAACCTCAGCCTCCTCAGTATCAGGGATTACAGGTGCAGACTATCATGCCTAGTAAAAGGTTTTTTTTTTTTTAAAGGAAAAGGATACTGTAGAGAGGAAGATTCCTATACAGGTACAGATTACACTAAGGGTCCCTACCAACTGAGATTCTATGATGCTTTATGAAAAATAACTGAAAAGTAAAGATGGCCACTAGCAATACCTTATGAGCATACTCCTCTAGATTCATATTTTGAACTCGGTCAATAGCTTTGTGCATCATCTTCTCACGATACAAATTAACACTTTCACGTTCAACCACTCCTGAGCCACCACTTGCCACCAACACATATGTGCTTTCATCAGCTCGAGCTCGACCTCGGGCCTATAAAAACATCAAAGAAAATAATTATTTATGAAAAATCTTGGTTCTACCCACCTCCCTTTAAAACAAAATATGGGATGGTAGTACATTTTGCCCCATGATCATTATGCTGGAAGTAAAACATTGCAATAAAAACAATAGAAGTCAAGCAGGTTATTGCATGTATTTGACAACCAATGTGACACAGTATTAGGTAACTGTGTGCAAAGCACTGGGTGAGGGGAGGCCTAAAAAAATATGACGGTGATTGCTTTGACGTAGCTTACTTTCTAGTTTGAACACTTTCAAACAACTAGCACATAAAATATTTGCCATCAAATCTCCATACATCCCATTGTTTGCCTCTTTGAATTCACATTTATTTAAAAATACCACCAATACAAAATACAATGAAACCAGTCTCTTCAGGGTACTTGCAAGTTTTCTTAGCAATGATTTTGCACTTTTACTTTTTTTATACTTTATTTTTATACTTTTTTTGGGTACTTTATACTTTTATATTCCAAATTCATTTTATTTGTAGATTGGTAAATACTCTTCTTGTAAAGTCTTGGCTTGTTGAAAATGCTGGTATCAAACATTTTTATTTATGTGAAATTGAATTTTCAAGAAGGAAGAAGAGGGTATATTCTGAGTTCCAAAAATATTTGGCAGTTTAAAAGTGCCAACAAAAAGCACAGTTTAGCATCAATGGCATACATGGCCACCTTATTCCCACAGGTTGATAATACACTCAGATAAAATAATCTCTTGCCCAACATAATTGGTCTTCTTATAATGTAAGAGAAAATTAAAGAGGAGAGAAAACTGGAGAAAAATTGGTAATACAAATCCTGATGACCTTTTTTTTAAACTTTCTAAAGGTAGATGGGCACAAAAGTAGAGGATTTTGTAATGATTATAGAGAAATCTAGTCTAAGTAATTTTTTAATTTAAAAATCTTTCAATGTTCTAGAAAATCTTGAAGTCCAAGAATAGAGATAGTGAAAACATCCTAAGAATGAAATGGCCTATTTCCACCTTTGCAAAAGAACAATACTATATTGTTTAAAATTTTAGTAACCAGAGACAAAAAAGATTCAAGTGTCATATGCCTTAAAAACTGGGCTAAAGCTTTTAATATGATAACTACATTAATTAAACAAAAATAAAGCTATTGGTCTATGCTTTCTCTTTTACCAGGAAAACAAAATAAAACAAACTTTGAAACCATTATCCTAGACCTAGAGGATCTCATAAGCTCCCAACTGTTCAATGTTCACCTTTATGCAGCTGGATCTCAGCTCTATATATTTAATCCCAGCCTTTCTCCTAAATTCTAGTCTCACATCACTAGCTCCCTATTACACGTCTCCAAATGGATGTCTTATAAGCATTTCAAACTTAACATATCCCAAATAGAGCCCATTATCTCTTCTCCAAAACCCTCCTTCTTCTCCTGACATCTTTATTTCTGCTGAGGACACCACAATTCTCCCCATCGCTCAAGGTGTCAACTGGGATCACCCTTAATTCTTCTATCTCCTGCATCCTTCACACCCATCAGCTGCCTAGTCTTGTCAGTGTTACCTCCATAATATATCTTGCAACTGTTTCCTTCTCTGTCTTCATCACCCTAGTTCAGACCCTCAGCCTTGTCTCTATCTTCTCCCCTTTCCAATCTATCCTCCATATTTCTGACAGCCTGATTTCCTTAGAACACAAGTCTGACCATGGTACCTTTCAGAATTCAAGATTCCCAGTGGCTTTCTCTTGCTTCTACGCTAACATACAAATTCCTCTGATTTCAAAGCACATTTCCTCAGCTGGGAGTTTTTTAGACCAATGAAATCACAGATCCGGTCCCAGTTCCCATCTCTTATCGATCAATTTGATACACTAATTTATTGCCTGACTTGAGTTAAAACACTTAGCCTCTCTAGACTTTGGATTTTTTATTAGTAAAATGAGATACCTATATGAATTCTAAGGTCACTTTCAGCTCTAATATTCTATTCTTCTATACTTTGTGCTGTTTGAAGACAAATAAAAAAACAGACAAAAGGAAAAAATGAATAGAATATGAAAGAAATTAAGGTTGACTAAATATACCTGTAACATGGCTATTTCATTGGTGACAAGACCATAACGGATAACAATATTACATTCTTTTATATCCAGGCCTTCTTCAGCTACTGTGGTAGCAATAAGTAGGTTTATTTTTCCAGTACGAAAATTATTAATTACTTCCTTTTGTTCATTCTGCAGAAAGAGTTCAAAAAGTTAATTTTATGTTGTTGAACACATTAAATATTTTCCCCATTGGAAGAGTTATTATAAATTGAGGCTAGGTATAAATCAAATGGTGTCACTAGTTTTGGTCTTTGAGCAAATTAACATCTGATTTTCATTTTGATTACATGACATGCTAATAAACAGCTTCAATGTTTAGTCTGGATATTGGAAGACTATAATTTTAAGCTATGGAGATGAAATGGTGGGCATACTGGGGGTGGAAAGGAAGTATTAGATGTTAGATATGGGAATATTAGATAGTCACTAAAACATTGTAAAGGATATTTACATTGCATTAACTTCAGAATCGTAGCCTTTCAAAAGTCCAGAATATAGTGGCTCAATTGGATATTTGTGATCTCTTGTAAGTCAAAAAGAAAGTTTCAAATAAACAATAAAGTATATAGCATCTGAACCTTTTGAATAAAATAAACACACAACATAAAAAAATCAAAGCCACTGAAGTTTCAAAAGTGATTAAATCATAAAATAGACTATTTTACATAAAATTATTTATATGACTTTTTCAAATAAATTTAAAACAAATAGTTATTATCTCAAATTTGATATAAGGGTGCTACGTATGAATTTTAAAACATATTTTGTAACCTTGATCTCTTAAATGATGAAGTAAAATAGCAATAACATATTGTGGTAGAATACCTTCATATTCAAGGCAAAATGTTGGTGAAGTTAGGTTTTCTTTGGTACTGATACATTTTGGAGCTCTCATCCTTTCTTTTAGTTTTCTTTCCATAACCTCCACAGGCTCCCAGGCCCCTCATAAGCTACCACCATTCAGATTCCAAGACAGGGCACTGCCATGCCCTATATGGGTCTTTCAGGATTTATCACCTGCTTTTTGCCATCACTCCCAGATACCAAAACTTCACCTTTTAAGTATTCACTCAGGAAATGCTCTCTTTTAGCTAGCAGCCAATTTAAGAAAGTATTTAAGGGAGAAATATCCAAAAAATGACATGAGAGTGTATTCTCCTGGTTTTACCTGGGGGCAAATCCTGAATTCCCTATACTTCCAAAAGAAAGGCAATGAAGAAGGGCATGACAAGAATAGTTAATATTTATATAGCACTTTTAAGTTTATGGTGTGTTTTCAACCTAAAAACCTTTTAATATAAATTATTATCCTATTTTACAGATGAGGAAACTGAAGTCTCCGAGGGATCTCATGACTTACCCAAGAACATGCCTAAAGTAAACAGTAAAGCTGGTGTTTCAACCTAGGTCCTTTTATTTCAGATTGAAGGCTCTGTGCCTTGACACTTTTCTAGGAGTAGAAAACTCAATGTGCAGCTGGTTGCTTCAGCTCTATTTTAGCTCCCAGAGGGCAGAGAGGCATTTCACTTTTGTCTTTGTGTCTCTGGTGCCTAACTTGGTGTCTGGCACATAGGGAGCACTTAAAAAGTCCTTGCTACTTTTGATTCTGTACCACAACTGAGACCACAATTGAAGGGTCTGGATCACAGGAATTGATACTCTAGCCACTGTATAATAAAACATAGATGTCTATTAAATCCAAACTCTTTCTTTCTTTCTTCCTTCCTTCCTTTGTTTCTTTCTTTCTCTTTCTCCCTCCTTTTTTCTTTTTTCTTTCTTTCTTTGCTTCCTTCTCTCTCTCTCTCTCTCTCTCTCTCTCTCTTCTCTCTCTTCTCTCTCTTCTCTCTCTCTTCTCTCTCTCTCTTTCTTTCTTTTTTTCTTTCTTTCCAAGTCTCCCTTATCTTGCCTAGGCTGGAAGTCCAGTAGTCACTCTCCCAGTTTCTGACTTAGGCAAGTTCACCCTTCTTTCAGCAGCTCAGTGGCTCAAGAAATCTTCCAGCCTAAGTCTCTAGAGGAGTAGAGTTTATAGGTATTCACCACTATACCCAGCCAGATTTCAAGAACAAAATTCAAAAAGAAAGTATAAATAATTCACATATAAATAAAATTATATTAGAGTTTTAGTTTAGTTAATATACTTAATGGGATACCTGTGTCATGGGTTTAAATTCACTGCTATTTCCAGCCCCAATCAGATGGTGAGCTTTTACTCCTACTTCAGCAAATTTTTCAATGTCATTAATCCACTGAGAGAGAGCAAATGCACTTTGCCGAGTCTTGGTGAAGATTATTCCTCGCGCTACAGATCCATCAGTTTTAGTAAACTCTTCCATTATGGTGTTTCTTAATTTGGTCAATTTTTCATTTTCATGATCTGGAGTGATGGCCAGCTTTTTCAATTTTTTCTTATTTTCTTTAAGAAGCAATTAGTGAAAAAAATCAATGAAATATACAAAATTATTTTAAAAATTCCTAGAATTAGCAACCAAAAAGTGTCCTGACTGCACAAGAACTCAAGGTTCAGTTAGTATAACTTAGATGTGGCAGAAAATCCAATACCAATCATGCTAAAAGCCCAATTAATTACAAAGCCCATACTGTGGAAATTTCAGTCACATCATAAAAAAACAGGCTAAAAAACAAAGCACTCCCCATATTACTTTTTGCTCTGTGATTCCTTGAAGAATCCAGAACATATATGAATATGCAAAGAATCTGTGATTTTATCAGGATATGGAATTCTCACAGCCTGTCTATGACTTAGATGATAAATTATAGGAAGCTATTCATGAAACAAGAAGGTTAAATGAATTGCCCAGGGCCACAAAGCTAGTGAAGTGTTAGAGGCAAGATTTTGAGGCAAGACTTAGTTCTACCTAAACTAGTTAGAAGTAGGTTCTTACCAAAGAGATACACATGTGTGAATCATGCATGGATTCAAATTCAACAAACATTTATTGAGTCCATATTATATGCAATGTAGGGCAGCTAAGTGGCACAGTAGATAGAGAACTGGTTTTGAACCCAGGAATCTTTCTGATTTCAAATCTGGCCTTAGACACTTACTAGCTGTGTGACCCTGCGCAAGTCATTCAACCCTGTCTGCCTCGGTTCCTCATCTGTAAAAGGAGCTGGAGAAGGAAATGGCAAACCACTCCAGGGTCTTTGCCAAGAAAACCCCAAATGGGATCATAAAGAGTTGAACATGACTGAAATGACTAGACAACAACATACACAATGTGTTGCGCTAGGCACTAGGCATGTAAAAATAAAAATGGTATTGTCTTCAAGGAGCTTACAAACTAAGGGAAATATTGCATAATAATATGTACATATTCACAAATGGGTATTATACAAGAGTTTGATAAAGGCAAAGAAGAGATTCAAGCAAGAAAACTTAAGGAGAAAGAACACTTTCTGTTAGTGTGATAAAGAAAGCTTTTATGGAGGAAGTGGTATCTGAGCTAAGAAAGATTTCAGCAGGCAGAGATACAGAATGTGCTCCAGGCATGGAAGAACACCTTGAATGACTGCTCAGAGACAGGAATGTATAGAAAAAGACTGGAGAACAGAAAAAAATCTCTTAAGGTTGGAAATTTAGAATTGTTGAGGAACATGATCAGGTTTACAACTGGAAAAGAAGATTGGGGTTATATCATTGGGGTGATTTTTTTTAAGCTAATGTTAATTTTTAAAATTTTAACTTTAAGTTAATGTTGATTTTTTTTAAGTTTATGTCTCTCTGAATTGGAAATGACTTCAGAGGTCTTGTATTTTAAACTACACCTGACTGATCTCCCTCTTATGACTTCCTCAACCAGTGGTCTTAGTCTTCAACGGAAGACATCAAATGAGGAAGGAAATCACCATTATCTCCTAAAGTAGCCCATTCCACCATTGGATAGTACTAATTGTTAGGAAATTTCTCCTTACATCAAATTTAATTCTGATTCTCTGCAATTTAAACAAAAAATGATTCTTACCATAAAATAATTCTAGAAGAAACAGATCTGTTTCATCTAATTTCAACAGTTTCTTTTTATTATTATCTTCCTCCTCTTCCTCCTCCTCCTCACTATCGTACTCTTGGGCTGCTATCTTCTTCTCCTTTTCATCATTATAGAAACTTTTGAGGTGGTGGTATGCATCTATCATTCGGATCGTGTCATTGATTTGTAGAGCTTCATTGTACTTCCTCAAATGCTCTGCACAAACACGTTCTTTGCGATTCCCTTCTTTTGCAGCTTTAAAGAAAAAAAGAGTGACATAAAAGAAAATATTCCCTAGGGTCATGTTATACACATCTCTGTAGAAAATGCTAACTCTTTTCCAAATCTACTCTTCTTTGAGGGCGATCCCCCATGCTGCCCTATATCTGATATAACTAGTTGAAGTTTTCTAGACTTTATAATTGCTTTTGAAAGCATGCCAGGAGAGTATAAAGCACAAATGCATATTAGTAATACTTTTAAATCTGTACCAGGCATGCCCTAAGGAAAGGGGTGGTGTCAGACATTTCTAAAAGGTATTTCCACAGAATCTAAGGCAGTCATCACTCTCAAATAGTACTTATTTTGCTAATATAGCTACAGATACAAGGCACAAGCTGGGAGTAAACACATACACACACACTGTCTATCTACTCTCCTGGCTGCTTTCTAATGAGGTTGGTGTGCCAGTAGGGCACACAAAGGCATATACCCAGTGACTGAAGATGACCACAGCCGTGGGCCTTACCACAACTACAACCCCATCTTCTGCCTTCTCCCTCTACTTTCACACTATAATGTTCTACAACTAAGGCTTGTAAAAGGCCACCCTCACATATACAAAAAATGACTTTCCAACATATATATGTATGTCTGTGTGAGTACATATACATATATATACAGTATACACACACACATATATAAATGATTGTGCTGGATGTGCATGCATATATGTATTTGTGTAAATATACACATACATGCACATAACTTATAATTCTGCTATATGTATATGTGTGTATATATGTGTGGCTATACATATATACATTCATACACACAAACATGCTAACATATATACATATACACAGGCAGTTATAGCTATTGTCTACCTCTATATCTTAGCTGTAGGCTGCCACATATGTATTATGCATGTGCATGCACGTATATATGGAAGCTAGCAGCAGGCTGCCTCTGAATGAATGGAAACATTAAGGTACTTTCTTCCAGTGCCAACAGCCATACTTGCTCCCTTCCTGATTCTATGATTCTGCTGCACTGCCTTTCCTCTTGTGCAAACATTGTGAACCCAGGAAACCATAATAGTGCTGTCTCACTCCACTGGAAATTCTTCATTAGGAGGGCAGTCTGAGGCCCTGCTGAGGCCCATCTCCACTTCTGCCACTGACTACCTGTGTGCCCTTGGTCAAGCCACAATCTCTCTAGGACTCAGTTTCACTTTCTGAAAAACGAGAGGGCTAGATTAGACAACCTCAGTTCTCACGCACTGAACATGGATTTGTAGCAACTGTTCATGGACTAAAATACTCCCAACACCCAGTGAGACCTATGGAAGTGCACTGGCTGATTCCATTCCCTATCAAAGGAGAAACCCTGCTGTACTTCCGAGGTTTTGGGCTGCAACTTCATCCCTCCCTTAAAGCAATTCAGCTACATTGCTTGCTTTTCTTCGACTAACACTGGGGGAAATGTGCTAGGTCTATTTATCTTTTAATATCAACTTGTAATATTTATCTTGAAGGCTTTTTGGGGGAAGCATAATAAGACAGAGATGATAAAGAAGTCCAGATAGCCTGGTGCCTCTTTCCTTTGACAAAATGTCAAGACATGTTGGTCTTTATCCTGACACTGTATTACAGCTGCAATGCACAGAAAAATAAATCTTATAAAAAGTATAGTATTAAACATGAGTTTCTGAAACATTAATATGATAAATCTAATTAAAAGGTACTCAGTAAAAACCAAAATTACCTCTTTTTTCCTGATGAATGACCCAGTGTTCATAGGTTTGTGTCCCAAAATCAGATGTTGGATTCATTTGACTAAAGGTATGAATGTCTGTCATTATTTCTAGAAGTTTCTTTTTAAATGGATTCTAAAAATAAAATAATACAACAATCATAACTTAATACTGGTGACTGACAGACCTTTGTCAAAATAATATCTATATAACCATACACTTTAGCAGAACTATTTAGGAAAAGGGTATTGTAACACAGGAGCCCCCACTGGAGGTTCCGGACTCCAGCCTCTAACAAGTTCACTCTTAATCTGGGCAGCCAGAAGGACAGGAAGACAGCTTCGGAGGAGTTATATAATAATTTATTCTTATTCTTCTCTATCTCAATGGGTTCCTGATAATGGGAACACCAATTCCTACAGGATCCCCTAATCACTCTTCTCACAGGGTCTGGCAAGAAGGGGGGCAATAACTCCTACATCTTAAGAGGGCCCAATCAAAACAGGTCCCCTCAAGCCTCAGTGGGGGCCGGTTGAGGCAGACACACATGCATTTCCTTATGCATTCCCCAGAACTCCACTCACTGACCAGTGTTCTCTTGATTTATAGAGAAGCACACAAAGAAGGCGATTTGCCAGCATAGCTTCACAAATTAACTTTACCACTATCATCATAACTTAGCACAGTACAAATATAGTAAATATTACATTATGCCATCCCTATATCTCACTGCACAGCTGCAGTACATGTTGTTTTGGCCATGGATCCTGGGAACTGTAATCTAAAAAAGAATAACAAGTCCTCCTTATTTACAGGTATATTTCTGATGATCTAGAGTAATAGCAGTAGTAGCAGCAGCAGCAGCAGCAGCAGCAGCAGCAGCAGTAGTAGTAGTAGTAGTAGTAGTAGTAGTAGTAGTAGTAGTAGTAGTAAACTTGCATTTATACAAAGCTTACAATATGCCAAGTATTGTGCTAAGTGCTTTACAATCAGTACTTCATTTTATCTTCACAACAACCCTGTGAGGTAGGTGCTATCATTACTCCCATTCTACAGTTGAGGAAAATGAGGTAGACAACCAGATCTGAACTCAGGTTTTCCTGACTCCAGATTCAGCTCTCTATATACTGTGCCAACTAGCTGTCTAATACATGCCTATGTATCCATGCACATATATGTTCTCTTTCTCTTTGTCTCCCTCTTAGCCTCTAGTCTTTTTCCTCCACCTCCTCATTTCCCATTTTTCTATCTCGCACACAGAATACACCAATACATACTGCCCCTATTGGAATAAACAATCCAATAGTTTCACAGAGTAAAGTTAATGAATGATAAATAACTTTCATATTTGGTGGGAAAGTATATAAGTATACTTGAGGAAAACATTTCTCTTTGAAGAATTGGTATCACTTTTATTTTTTGCCAACTTAAAGAGCTGAAGATTAGTATAAAGACAAAAACAATTTTAACTTCTTAAAAATTAGAAACTGTTTTCATACAAATGAGAAGCCGAAACCAGAATTCAATCTATTAAGTCTGACAAATGAAATAACCAAAGAGGGGAAAAACAGTAGTGCTAATGCCATTGTTATATAAGTTGATATACTAGATTGTTAAGGTTTTTTTTAAAAAAAAAAACTAAGTAAAATATATAATGGTTCTGAATAAAAGGCAAGAAAATAAGCAAATTTCAAATGATGGCTCTAAGTATACTTGGAAGCAACACAAAAACTGTTAGGTCAAATATATGTTCGTTTTAGTTTTTAATCTTATACATAAAATTGCTGACTAACTATGTAATCATAATGGCCCAAACTGAGGTATATATTTATGTCAATCTCCATGAAGTGAATTAATTGTAAATGCAAGGGTGGAGGTTGACTGAATCAATCAATTATTCATCTCCAGCCCAAAGGAAGTAACTGAGAAGATGATGTGCCCTTATACCTTATCAAGTGAGAATACCCCCACTGAATTAATCAATCAATCAAGCACATTAGATCAAATATGAGAAGACACTGATCAATTTGGAAGGAGTAAAAGCCATTGTTTGAAACTGAGTGACACTGCATGGATTAAATTGTTGCTTGTGGGCCTTCTATAAGATAGTAAAATCAGTTCAGAACCTAGCATTCCTGTGTCTTGGAGCCTAGAGAAGAGAGTAGCTCTAGCTAAGTCCTTGAGACCAAATCACTTAAGGAAGAAGAGAAAAGCTTCTGTCTCTGCCTGCCCCCCTCCATTTGAACAGAGGTCCTTATACACTTTAAAAGTATGGAAGAATTAGACTTCTCATAGATATTCTCATATTTTTCTCAGAACAGCCAATGGAACTGTTTGCATTTGGATCCCAGGACAAATTATATATGATGAGGAAAGATGGCCTGAGGACTCTACAAAGGGCCCAGAAGAATCTATATCATGGCAAAATGACTTCCAGGAGCTGTGAAGTTACCCTGTTTGCCACATGTGATTTACTCTGGAGAGCTCACTTTCCCATGGACTTTGCATGTACTTAAGCTCCAGTTTGGAGTGATGTTTTTACCAACTTATTCTACTACTGTACTATACTGTACTATGCTATACTATACTATTACTGTACTATATTATTACTATACTACACTATACTATTAACTGCCTGTTTCTAAAAGCCAATTAAGTCTGGCTGGCTAACTGATATCAATGGATAATCAACAGGAAAACCACATTGGTAGGGGCTCATGTGCTATAGTACTCTGGCTCTTCAGGGTCCCCTAGAGCCCTGAGGCAAGAAGTAGCTGGCCTATCTTCGGGCATTTGACCTGCCAGTGCAAGTGAAGGACAGGCATAGTAGTCCCAGAGTTTGTACTATACATATACACACCTACAATAAACCCACAAACGAATATAATTCATTTATTTTTCATTATGAGTAATATTTTCTTTAAAAATCCAAAATAGTTTACAGAAGTCGGGACTACCACCATCATTGTATCCCAGGTGGTGCAATGGATAGAGCACTGGGCCTGGAGTAAAATTCGAATCCTGCCTCAGGCACTTACCAGCTGTGTGATGCTTAGCAAATCACTTAATCTTTGTTTGCCTCACTTTCTTCAAATGTAAAATTAGGAAAATAACAGTACCTACCTCCCAAGATTATTGTGAAGATCAAATGAGATAATAATTTTAGAGCACTTAGCACAGTGCCTGGCACAGAGTGTTATATAAATGTTAGTTATTATTGCTATTATTATTATTTCAGAATTGTTGGAAGAGTAACAGTGTTTTAGCTTAATAGTAAAGGAATTCTGCAAAATGATCAAGGTTAAAGTGAATTAGTACCCTAAATTTTAGTCTAGCAAGTATTCTCTGACAGCCTATTTACAACAGAAAGCTAAAAATGAGAAAAGAAGAAAATATTTGTTATAGTTTTTTTTCCTGCTATCAATGTATAATCACAAAACTGAGGTTTTATTTTCTGATAGTTTTGGATGACAGTATTTTAGGAGGGAAGGGTAAAATAGCTTGTATAATTTTTTTAACCTGAAATAATGATTAATTTCAACTTTAAAAACATCATCTATATAAACAAAGACAGTACAGAAATTTCCAAACCTACTTCTCTGTTGTCATCTGCAATCACAAACTTCTTATAGGGTTCCTTCACTTGTTCTTTTAAAAGGGCAGCATTTTCTTTAACAGTGATAATTGTATAGGCATCAAGATTAGCACATATCTGTAAAAAGAAAAGTTTTCAATACTTAAATGATTACTCTCCATTCACATATTGGATTCAATTTGGCATAGTAGTCTTTCTCATGTCAGAAACAGACAACATTCTTTACTTGCTTTACTTGCTTACAGGTTCTCCAGGCATTCTCTCCAGCTAAGCAAACCCCACAGCAGTTGCCGCAGCCTGGGCACATCCCCCTGCTTGCTCCTTCTAACCACACACTGTTGTTTGTTGCTGGGACAACTCCACTCCCAGGCTGAATGTCTATGGGCAATGATAATCTATCTGAACTCATTCCTCAACGATTAACATACTTCCCTCCTCACCCAAGTGATTCTGAAAACCTAGATTGCCAGTGTTCAAACCCTGCTCTTTCACTTCTTAAACCCCTCAAGTCAGGGAGGTGCTGGAGCCAGCTTCACCAGCTTGTGAAAACTGATTGTAAAATTGCTACAAATCAGAGCTTCATATGTTGTTTTGTTGATTGTCTAGACTTAAGAAAGTGATGGAAAAGAAGTTGATAATGTAGGTTAAACTTAATAGTGGGTCATGTGTATATTGTTTTTCTCAGAAAGCCACTTTTTACATATTTACCAGTACACCCCTACAATTTCACTCATCTCCCATTCCATGATCATGTTGTGGGAGATAGAATACTCCTTGTTCATCACTGTCACTTTAAGGCTCATCCTCTACCACCAAAACTCAGTAACCTCTCTTCCTTTCATGTTCATTCAATCTATATTTAAAACCCAAATTAAGATTCTAGAGGTCTAATGACCTCCAGGACACCTTCCTTCCTTCTTCAATGGGTTCAGTGCCTAGATCACATTTTTTCTCTCCTTTCCAACTCCTAACCTCATAAGGGGATTTCACGATCCATACCTCTCTTTCTTCAAACACTCTAAGAAACTCATTTCCCATGACCAACTTTTCCACTCCACCACATGTACATACAGAGATGGCCATATCCTTGATCTTGCTATTAACCACAAATGTACCGCATTCATGTTCATGAACTCTGAAATTCCTTTATGGAATCAGAATCTATTGTCATCCTACTTCTTTTTTACATGTAGCTCCAAAACTTGTTCTTCATTTACCAAGACATCTAGGTGGCTCATTGGATCTCTATCATGCTAGGCCTGGAGTGGGGAACACTTGAATTCAAATCTGGCCTTAGACACTAACTAGCTGTATGACCCTGGGTAAGTCACTTCACTCCTGTTTGCTTTGGTTTCCTCAAGTATAAAATGGGGATAATAGTACCTACATCTTAAGGTTGTTGTGAGGAAAAAAATGAAATCATATTTATATATATATATATATATATTATGTTACATACATATAATATATACATATATACATACATATATATACATATATACATATATACATATATATATATATACATATATATTATATATATTATATATATTAAATGCTAGCTGTTATTACAATGATCTCCAATCCTTCTTTCTGAGACTATCATCCCTTGCACTGGCTACACCGTCCTTCCTTCCCCATTTTGACACCATGATGAGCTAGTTCAACTCTACACCATCCTTCTCTCTTGAGTCTGTCGTCCTCTTACCCTACTGTAGATCTTGCTCTGGGAAGCTTCAACCTCAGATCACTACCCCCCATCCGCCACCTTCATTCCCATATACATGCTGATGAATGGAGATGGAGAAAATTACAATACCATGATGACTGCATCCACTACAGATTTATTGGGAGATATGTTCAGCAACTCTTTGATAATGATAGAAACAGTGTGTATTAGTGTTCTGGCTTTGGGCCTAGGTTTATCACATTTATCACATTACTGGTTTAACACTATAAAAAACAATAACAACTTGGCTTTAGGAACCAAAATATAGATATGAGAAATGGAATTGTGTTCCACTAATTTTACTAAGTTTAGTTTATGATACAAAACTTAATCTGTGATTCCTTTGTGTAGGGCCTGGTATGTAGCAGACTACTGATGTTTATTGAACTGAATTGAATTAAATCAAATCTATGTCTGTCCATATGCCTTGATGTTCCTTGTAACTCCTAAACATTCACATGATGATAATAATAGCTAACAGCTAACTTTTTTTTTTGAATTTTTACTGAATTTTAATTTATGGAATAAAACAAGTATTTTCATAATACAGTTTAATTTTAAAAAAAGATGATTGTACATGAAACTGCAAATCTATTACATATAACTTGCTATTCCTTTAAATATATAAGTTATCATGTAAATTTCATTTTTTCCACATAGTAGCCACTATATAAATGTTAGCTATTAGTAACAATAACTAATAGCTGACATTTATATAATGCTTACAATGTGCCAGGCACTGTACTAAGTACTTCACACGTATTATTTCATTTTATCCTCACAACAACCCTTGGAGGTAGGTATTATTATTATCCCCATTTTACAGTTCAGTTAACTGAGGTGGAGAGACCTTTGCCTAGGGTCACACTAGTTAGTGTCTGAGTCTAGATTTGAACTCAGGTCTTCCTGACTCCAGGCCCAGTACTCTTTCTGATCTACAAACAAATTGCAGAACTTCTCTTTGTGGTCACTATCTGAAGTTATAAAATATGGGATGTTGCACTTCTTTCATCAGAAAAGGTCATCAGGTCTGTGTTTTCCTCTCTGTACTTACTTTTTGTGTGAAATTGATAGGATAGTGCTGTGGGTAGATTCTGTCTAAGTCAGAAATCAGAATGCTTAAGATTGTATCAGATAGAAAGCAACTCAGAGGGATGTCACTTTTTCAGACATCCATGTCACTGGGGAATAATACCATACACCCAGTGTAAGGTGGAAGCTTTCATACTTAATGTTATACCTTTGCTGATGCATATTTCTATGCATGGCCATCTCTGTATGCAGCTCTGTTAGGGTGGAGAAGTAGGTCATAGGAGAGCTTAGGGTGTTTGAGGAAATTTCAGCATTGATCTTGAAGTTCCCTAGTATGAGGGCAGGAGTTGGAGAGAAGAGAAAGACTGTGAACTGGGCATTAAGGTTATTAAATTTGCAAAAAAAAATACACTTGAATAGCCTTTCACATTTTGTAAAGCACTTTCAAAGATCATTTGGGCTTCACAAAAGGCATATAATCCAGGTAGGGCAGGTATTATTATCCCTTTTTCACAGATGAGGAAGTGACAGCTTCAAGAAATTAAACGTCTTGCGTCAGATCACACAAGTAGTAGTGAAGCTGTGACTCAAACCTCAAGTCTTGCAAGTGACAAATCTCAGATTTTAACTTGTGTCTTCATGACAAGTACAGTGTTCTTCCTATGATACCTCAATGCCTTTCTGTTAAAAAAAAGAGAAGATATTAATTTTGCCCCAGGTTATTAAATATGGTAGTCTTCCATAGTTCATGTGATAATGTTCCCTTTCAAATATAAATAGGCAAATCGACGTTTTGCAGATTTACCTACACAAATTTTCTGTGTATACATACTCATTTCTCTTAAATATAAATCATTGAACATTCCTCTGTTCATTCCATTAAATATTAATGAACATAAATTAAAATTTCAAACCAACACATCAGTAAAAATTACAATGTGTAATGTATCTTTGAACTGGATCCGTGATTTCATTAGGATAAGGAACTCCCAGTGAGGGAACTCCCTTTAACAACGTAGCTCAGCACCTCCCTCTGCAATTTATGGTCTAAGATAGCTGCTTTGGTCAGTAAGAGAATAAGTGACTTCACTGACCACTCTGACCATAGCCAGTATATCAGAGGCAGTATTGAACCCAGATCTTCCTGACCACGAGGCTGGCTCTTAATCCACTCTATGACACTGCTTCTTCTATGGTGTACAATATTACTCTTAAATTACTCACTTTCAAAATAATTACTTACTTTTAAAATATGTTCTTCAGCTTTAGATTGCTTTTTGGCCCCTCCCACACCAGGTGAAGCTGTCAGTCCAAGTATTTGAGGTTGAGGTACCACTGGTTTATTTTCCTTCTTGAGTCGACAATTCTTCATCTTTTGTTTCAGATAACGTATCATTATATTATTATAGACAGCTTCTTTGTTGGTATGATGGCATTCATCGATAATAATGAGGGAAAAATCTAGAAAGAAAATTAAAATTGTTCAAATTATTCTTTCAAATGAACTTCTCTGAGTTAATAGTGTCAAACTACAATTTTTAGAACACATTAAATTATTTTTAATTTGTAGGTCTTGTGGGGGGGATTTTTTTGCTTTTTAATTAGAGAGTGGCAAAATTTCATTTGTCACAGAATTATAACATGATTTTCAGATAATAATTATTACCTTATAGGTTTAATAAGAATTAGAGCTAGAAGGGACCTTATAGATCATCAACTTCAACCTCTTAATTTTATAAATGAGGCTATGAGGCTTAGAAAAGGGGGTGAAACTTGTCCAAAGTCACGCATATAGCAAAAACTAGGATAAGCATTCAAGTCCATGTTTTCTATTCCCAAATCCAAAAATACTAAATTGTTTTATTCTCTCAAAATGTTACAGAAGATTAATATTTAACATCTTTTTTATCTTCCATTTCATTGCTTGAGTACATTCCCCTTTCTCCCAACAACTGAGAATGACTTTGTTCCACAAGTAGATCTAATAAACGGACCTTCTCTTGTGAACAAAGAAAATATAGCAGTCCCTAACAAAAAGATTGAAAAATAAATGGAAAAAAATCATAAAATGTCAACCAAATCAAGGTTTCTTTTTCCTTATATCAAAGACCTCTGAACTTCTATTCACAGTAATAAAACTCTCTTAGCCAATAACTACCTGATAACTGGACACCATCATCTTCTCCATTCTCTGAATTCAAAAGGGAATTCTCCAAGATTTGTGCTGTACTGATAATAACATCATTGGATTTTACAACTTCTGGGAATGATATCTTCAGTTGAGAATCACCACTTACTCCAATGACGTTATACCATTTCTTCAAGAATGGTTTAAATTCTTTACGGAAGTGCTGTTCAACTAACGGTACCTAAGTAACATACCCAAAACAGAAAAAAAATGTCCAAGTTAACCTTAATATCAATTCAGTAATTACAGAGATCTTACTTTGAAAACTCCTTGTTGGAGGCGTTCACCTTTTACAAATGCAAACTGTTCTCCCTGAGAAGGTAAAGGGACTCAAGGAATGCCTCTCTATATGGCATTTAACTAAAGGGGTCAAAGGATTCCTAAATGGGATAGAAAAACAAATCCAATGCAGAGCCTTCAGTAGACCTCACACTGGTGCCATGTTTGTTATATCCTATAACAGAAGGGCTATCTTGGCCATAAAGGGGAAGAAAGTGTGATTGTTCTAGTGAGCAGGAATTTTGGCATCCAGGGCCAGATGATAACTACTGATTGGTCCAATTTAGGTGCCATTTTTCCCATGAATATTTCCCTGACTCCTGTCTCCTAGTTGGTTTCTTCTTCCAATTAGTCATGGTACTTTGCCTGAAACTCTCCTTTGTACTTATCTCACTTTCTTTTACATCATATTTGTGCATCCCCTTCTCCTTTTTGGACTCTAAGATCATTGAGAATAAGCTTCAAGTCATATCTATCAACAGTACCTATAAACAATTAGTGTTTGGTGAACTGAATTTATTTGCATTGAGAGTTACAGATGTTTCGCTCTAACTTGAATAACAATTCTACCTCAAGACATACTGTTGAATGAACAAATAAATTAAGGATAACTGAAATCATGAATGGTAAAGAAATTGAAATAGTACAGTGGAACAAAGAATGGAATGGTGAGGGGTCAGACTTTTGACAGAAAGACTTGTCAGGAGGCCCTAGGCAGGAAGATACAAGGGCTTTGATGAACTATTTTGCGGGGACAGCGTAGAAAGGAAGAAGTAGATAAAAGAGATACTAAAGAGGTGGAAACTATAGAATCTGGCAACTGATTGGATGTGTGGAGTGCGGCAATGGGGAAAAGAGTAAAAACTGACCGAGATTTTATAATGGTATGACTGGGCTACCTGATCGGTGGTACCAAACACATAAATGGAGAAAGTTTGGGATGAACATCTTTGGACAGCAAAGATGGAGAGTTTAGTTGTGATTATGCTGAGTCAGAGATGTTGCGAGGCCATCCCTGTGGAATTATATAGTACAGCAAGTAGTTGGAAATATGGGATTAGAGTATGGGGATAGAGATGAGGATTTAAAGGTGATTGTATCTGAGAGTGGATGAGATCATCAAAACAGTGTGTAGAGAGAGGAGAGAAGAGAGCAAAGATTAGAACTTTATGAGAAATTTAGCTTCAAGGAGAATAGAGTCAGCAAAGGAGATAGATAAAGAAAAGGACACGGTGAGGAAAGTACATCAAGGAAGAAACAGTTGGTGATATGGAAATTTAAAAACTTAGCAGAAAGTATATCATATTAAAGATCGTAATCACCAAGGAAGTGGAAAGCTAGATTCTTAGAAAAGCATTTTTTTTATGCTTACACAAAAGATAGATATGATTCAATGATCACAGAGTTTACATTGGGGTTTACTCATGCTCTGCACTTCATATTCTGTTTCACATATCTTATTCAACAACTCAGAGGAAAAAAGAATAAGACATGCTTATCAAATCTATGTATGACAAAAAGCTAAAAAAGAAGCCACATGACAAAAATCAAGATTGTATCCCCAGAGATTAGCACAGTGCCTGGCACACAGTAGATGTTTAATAAATGATAGCTGATTGATGATAGCAAGGTAGAATGATAATGTTGAAAATAACATGATAAATGTAAAGTCTTGCATATCATTCCCCAATACACACATACAGAGAGAGAGAGAGAGAGAGAGAGAGAGAGAGAAGAGAGAGAGAGAGAGAGAGAGAGAGAGAGAGAGAGAGAGAGAGAGAGAGAGAACACGACATAAGCACAGGATCAAGAAAACCTAGCTTAGTAGTTCATCAATAGCAACTTGTGGGTTTTGTCAGCTACAAGGTCCCTGTAAGTGTGATGCAGCTGTCAAAGAAAGCATAGTGTTAGACTGCCTAGAAAGAACAAAGGAGTTAAATGTTGCCTCTTGCATTAATCAGATTACATCCACACTGGTCAGACCGCAGATTAAAGTGCTACCTCAAATACGGGGCACCATATTTTGAGAAGGATGTTGCCAAACTGTGGCATGTTTGATGAATTGTTGAAAGAACTAGGGCTGTATAAAAATAAGATTAGGGAGGAATAATAATTGTGAAGGGCTGTCACATGAAAGACAGATTAGATTTATTCCATCTAACTCCATAGGGATGTGCTAGGATTAACGGGTTGAATTTACAATGAGGCAGCTTTGGGGTCAATATAAGGAAGAAGTTGTTTTGGTTTTTTTTTTTTTAATAGAGCTATCCAAAAATGGAACTTGATTCCTTCTGAAATAATGAGTCCATTATCACTGGAATTTCAAGCAAAAACTGGATGACTACATGTTATGGATAGTGTGGAAATTCTTGACATGGAGGGAGATTTGGATTAAAGGATTGTTAAAATCTCTTCCAATGCTAAGATCCTATTATTATATAACTACATATAAGGGATGGATGTGATTGATGAATGAGTGATGGATGAAGTCTTAGCTCTCAATGACTGGGAGAATGCTGATATCACAGACAGGGAGAGAGGAAAGACTAGAAATCTATCAGTAATTATAGAAAATAGCTCAGTTTTGAACTTTTCAAGCTTGGAATACAAGTGGAAATGACAAGTTGGAGACACAGGAATAGTGTTTAGTTTAGGAATTAGGACCAGAGATTCAGATATAGGAGTCATCAACACAGAGCTGACTGTTGATGCCATGAGAATAGATATGCTCCCTATGGTAAGTTTTATAGAGAGAAAAGAGAAACAGGCCAAGAACAGGCCCTTGAGCAACACCAAAAGTTATGGGAATGTAGTAGAGGAATAGCTAAAATAAAACATGATTAAAAAAAAGAGTAGTTAAGATAATTTGGGCAGTGTCACTATAGCATCAAAGAAGCAAATGGAAGGGAAGATTTCAAGGAAGAACACAGTTTCACTAATAGAGTGGGAAGGGCAAAGAGAATGAGAAATACATTGAATGACTTCACTTACTAATTAGTCAGTTGAAATGCAAAATTGTTCTACACACATTACACATCTCTCTTACTGCATCCAATGAATGATATGTACTATTTTGTGTGTATGTGCGTGTGTTGAGTAAAAGCCAGTATAAATCTGTCCTCATCTTCACATATAAAAATTTTGTGTTCACCAGTCACAAAAGTTATGTGATAACAGAATGTTAGGCGATGTCTATTCCTATATATCCTACATATAGGATATCCTATCCAGGATATTTTAGCCTTGATCCAGTAGTCTGTTTTCCCTCAGGAACCAAGGCCTGTGTTTTATAGGTCCAATAACTCGTAGCCATCTCGGACACATGATATTCACTGGCTCTGTGACCCTGGGCAAGTCACTTAACTCCAATTGCCTCAAACAAACAAATAAACAAACAAACAAATAAATAAATAAATAAATAGATAGATAAATAGATAAATAAACAAACAAACAAATGTATGAATGAATGGCTAAATAAGTAAATGAATGACTAAATAAATAAATAAATAAGTGAACAGACAAATAAATAGAAAATGAATAAATAAATAAATGGATGAATGAATAAATAGATAAATGAATGAATGAATGAATGAATGAATAAGAGTTCTTGCAAGAGCTTAAAAGGAACTTTAAAAATCAAATAAGAAAAGTTCAGGAAAAACTAGGGATAAAATAAGACTAATGCAAGAAAATGAAGAAAAGTATGAAAAGAAAGTAAACCAATTGGAAAATAAGATCTAAAAACTTATGGAAAGAAATAATTCCACAAAAATTAGCATTGGGCAAGGGGAAGCCAATGACTTCATAAGACACCACGAAATAATAAAACAAAATCAAAAGATGAAAAAATAGAAGAGAATATGAAAATCTCATTAGAAAAACAACTGCTCTGCAAAACAGATCGAGAAGAGACAATATAAGAATTGTAGGACTACTTGAAAGTTATAACTTCAAAAAAAAAGACTAAACACTATACTTCAAGAAGGAAAATTGCCCTGAAGTTTTAGAACTAGAGGGTAAAATAGAAATTGAAAAAAATCTACCAACCACCTGAAAAAAATCCCAAGATGAAAACTCACAGGACCATTATAACCATGTTTTGAAGCTGCCAGATTGAGAAAATACTACAAGCAACTAGAAAGAAATAATTTAAATACTGTGGTGGTACAGTCAGAATAACACAATATTTAGCATCTTCTACATTAAAATACTGAAGGGCATGGAACATGATATTCTGAAGAGCAAAAGAGCTGGGTATGCAACCAAGAATAACTTGTAAGTGAGTAAGAGGAGAAGGTAAGTTAACAGGGATATGATGTAAAGAGAGGCTGAGAAGGAAAATAGTGTGTAAAAATAAAATGGAGAAATTCACAAATAGCCATTTTAACTTTGAATGTGAATGGGAAATGAATTACGATTGTGATGGAATACTACTGTGCTGTAAGAAATGATGAGCTCAATAATTTTAGAAAACATGGAGGCATGAAATAATGAAGAGCAAAATGAGCAGAATCATGAGAACGTTACATACGGTAACAGCAATATTGTTTTAAGAATGACTTTGATAAAAGGTATTTTGAACATTATAAATACCCAAATTAATTATAAACAACATATGAAGAAAGATATCTGTATCCATAGAAAAAACTGATAAATAGAAGCATATATAGAATAAATTTACACACACACACACACACACACACACACACATATATATGCACACTATTTGTGTCTAATGGTAGTCATCTCTAGGGTGGGGAGGGAGGGAAGAAAAAAAAAAGGAATGTACTTGATAATTCTGTTGTATATTTGAAAGGAATAGCAAGTTGAGAATAGTAGATTTGAAGTTTCATTACAATCATCTTTTTATTGTACTATGTTATGAAAATGATTGTTTTATTT